AACATCCTCTCTCGGCAAAGCTTCCTTGACAGCATGGCATCGTGCCACGTAAACAGCCAGGGGGAAACAAAATCAGAATTAACATATTCCTCTGCCTCTCCCTATGGCCCAACTGGTATTTGCAAGATGTTACCTCCGAGCGAAATAGGCACGGTCCCTTGTGGTAAAGTTTGCACGGTTTTTATTTATTTATTTCTTGCGGGGGGGGGGGGGGGGGGGGGGGGGGGGGTTGTATTTTTTTGCGGAGAGAATTAGATTTCTTTAATTTGCCAACCGGCACGGCTGTACGTGGCGAGTGCTGCCTGTCCCCGTAAGATAAATCAGCGGTGGTATTTGCGGCGGTGGACTCCGCTTCCCAACGGTGTCACCCTGGCGATTATAAATAAACCCGCCTCCACACAATAGGTGAACAGAGCCCCGTGGCAACGAACGGTGAGGGCTGGGGGATGGGGGGGGAAGGGGCGGTGGAGGGGGGGGTTTGCGTCAGCGCCGCATGCATTTTTATCTAAAGGTCTGCCCAGTGATGAACTTGCTGGCCCCCGCTTAATTATTAAGTTGCACTTAAACGTTCCTTCCCTCTGAATCAAACGCGCTGGAGGTAACGCTCCGTGTAAATCGGTGCAACGAACGACATCACAGCCGCCACCGCTCTCCCGCCACGGCAAAGGATCCACGCCGGATCGGTGAGGGGGGCGATGCGGCACCGAGCTACGACCGATGCCACGCGAACGATTATCATCCGCGGGCACCGCGCCGTCGCGACGCTCCGCGTGGGCACGGCGGGGCGGGCGACGGCGGCTGGGCGCCCCGTGCGGTCGGCACGTCCGACGGGGAGGCGGAGCGCGCTGCCGACGCTGCCGACGCTGCCGTGCTCTTCCCGCCGTCGCCGCGCGTTGCCGACGACGACGCCGTCCGCCGCGGCGCTTCACAAGAGGAGGCGGCGGCAATCGCCGCGCTGGCGTCGTAGTGGGCCGATGGTGCAGCAGTTGGCGTGGTGCGGCGACGAGTATCGCGGTTCATCGGGATCCCCCCTTGAAAGAACAGGCGACACAGTCAGCTTTCTCTCGCTTACGCTCGGAGAAGCGACGGCGGCGTTTGTTGCTCTCCTGGCACCGTTTTGTTTTAATGCAGCTCGTTTGCAGGTCTCAGATGAACTACGGTCACGGCTTGGGGAAGCTTTCTTCCAGCAGTGTATTGATCATGGCTGACGATGTTTCTTTTATAATTTACATTTTCCTACAATTTATATTTCTACCGAGCCTTTGGAACGCTCACAGTAAGCAGTGCATCACCCCGTGTCAGAAAACGGTGCGTTAGATAACGTTACGTATACTCTGCAAGTCACTTTCACCAATTAGAGTGTTCATCACACGGCAAAACCAACGTGTTGTTTCTTCTTATTTTATCTACACTGAAATAAGCGGTGTAAATCCACATCTTTACGATGGTTTGTTCGTGCGGCCATGATTACCAACGCGCTGAGATCATCGACTCGAGACCCTCACTGAACCGCCTGATACTCAACACATTCACCAGCGACACCTTGGTGTCTTTAAAAATATATATATTAAGACTCGCCTTTTGCCCGTCCAAGGACGGGTGTATTGCAGTAAATCTGAAACTCGCAAGCGAAAAGCAGACCTTGACGTGATCTTCATTGCATCAATGCGTGTGCAATTAGTAAGGCTGCGGTGACACACACCTATTTCATTTAAATGTTATAATCCCTTGTTCATCATGACGTCCTATTTACTTCTATGTCTCAATAGCGTTACGGAGATTACGTGACGCGTAGAGAGGGTTGTAAGTTGACGCTGAGGAGGGGGGAGGAGGCGCCTCGCCCCCCCCCCATGTGGAGTGACGTCACCCGCTAATTAATATTAATGTCTGGGGGGGTGTCCATTTGGAAGACGTCACCTCCTCATGATTATTAATGAGGGGGGCTGTTCGATGTGGAGTGACGTCACTTTGCGGGACACAGATATTCTTGACTCATTACAGTAGAGTATATGTGAAAAATATGGATGATCGGTGACGTTTCGGGCAATAGCCCTTCTGCATAGCAGGTTAATGCATTATTTTATACTTCAAAAAATGTTACGACTTATATGGGACTATCGTTTTTAATGGAAAAAGAACGGATAATACACTGTAACATGATAACAAATGTACGTCAATAGCTTCAGAAAGAGTCTCCACTTGTTCGCCATCATTGTCAACGCGCACCTGGAATCTTCTCCAGGTGGTCTCCAGAGCCTGGAGGGCTTGTTGCAAATTCTCAGAAGTGTTAACATTATTCTAAGCACCCTGGACTTAAAACCCGAAATGTTGGCGTGGCAGAAACGAGGATTTGAAGGCAGGATCTCAACCACTGCGGCTCCTCACGCGCCCCCTGCATCACACAGCCACCTTTCACATTACAGCCTAATAGGATGTTACCCGGTTAATTAAAATACATTTGGGCGTGTAAGTTTGAATAAAGTGCATTATTATTATTATTTAATACCGCCGTATACGCACAAGCATACCAAATAATTAATCACATTTGTAACTGAAAATGAACAAAGCGCCAAACGGCTTAATTAACAATGAGATGCAACAGAAAAGGCGAGGTTTTTGTTCGAATCGTTATATAGATGTAAATAAAATAAACAATCTGTTTCAAGAGTTGAATTGTTAAAAATAAACGGGTCTCAGAATATTAAACATCGCAGAGCACGAACGAAGTGTGCGTGAAAATATGCATCCAGTATTGTGAGTAATGACGGCAAACAGCAGCGACGAGTGCTTTTTAATTACTACGGTAATAACGATGATTATCATTATCGGTCTTCTTTGCCACATCACTGCTGTAGAAAGGTCACCCCCCCCCCTCGTGTTGAGGGTTGTTTGACCATACTTCACCACCCAACGCGTCAAATGGTTTTGCTTTTCTTTACGCAGGCGGGTCGTGAAAAAAAACGCGACAATTCCGTGCGACGCTTCACTGGAGATCACAAACGGCATTGTGGGGCGTTGGTAACGAGCCATCGCGAGCAGGAAAGAGCTACGTGAAACATTGAAGACAGTCACAGTCGTCGAAGTAGTGCGATCGAGTCCATGCAACCCGAATCATGGATCATACAAATAGAGCCATAGAGACCCATCCAGATAAATAAAGAGACGTAAGAAATACAACGAGAGACATTAAAGACAAGCCACAGCAGTGCGCTTGTGGGCGTGCAGCCCAAACTGTAGACCATATCGTGCACAACTGTAGCCTGGGCTCCTTCAATGGATAATTACAAAACTACACAAACTCTCTGTCGTGGCCAGCAGACCACAACATCGGCATCTTGTGCTCCTGAACACCACGCTGCTTCCATACGCGAAAAAATATAGTGAGGGCTTGAGATCCGAGCTCTTGCTGATGGCTGACGTATGCGCTGGAGGGTCATGGTGCTCATCAACGTCGAAACTACACGGCTTGGTGAAGAAGTGGGGGGGGACATGACCGGTTTAGACCGGTCATCAACGTCATAGTCGTAGCGCCATCACCGTTACAGTCGTAGCAGTACCCCGCAAATCGAGCCCAAGCTGCCGGGTTGGCCGACAAGGTGGGCAAACCACTGCACCAACGCTCCACTCCCAATACAAATGAACATGATGATATCGATTTTTTTACGTGCAATGTAATTGGAATACCATGTGTTGTTGTCTTTCTTTGGGACTGTTGTTGTTTTTCTGCCTTGACAAAGCTTGCATTTGGTGTTGACAAATCGGCACAAATTGATCATTTGTACTTCTGTACTTTATTTATAGATATTTATAAAATTATTTATATTGACTTGCTTACCTTTTCTCTATCTTGCTCTTCTCATATCGTTGTTCGTGTTTATTTCTTTGTTGATGTAACTGGCCGACCCCATGCCCCAACTGGACATCGTTGAAAAAGAGCTTCATAGCTCATCGGATTTCTCCTCCTGTTCCAGTCTAAGTAAAGATTCTGAACGTGATTCTGAAGGAACATGGACCGGCGTTACGTAATGCGAGTAGAGGAACAAAAAATAAAATAAAAAATCCCGACTCCCCAGCGCAATCGTTAAATAATACCGGTAAGTTAAACACCCTGAGAGTGCAATGGCAGATAAGTAGCCTTTAAAAAGGAGGAAAAACGTAATCGCTTGATTTTATTTTTATTTCTTCAACCGTATCGCTGTGACCTACATCCCATCCGTTTGTTAATCTCCGCGAGCGCGCGGGCGCACGCGGAGATGGATTGGAATTGAAAGCAGCAGTCACTCACTCACTCATCCACCGCCGCACGTCGTCGCATTTAAGGGTTTTAATTTCCCACCCCCCGAGCAACGCGCCGGTGATTCGGCAACGGTGGCTCGAGCTGGAGGCCCAGCTCCCAAAGAGAGATGATCCACACTGTTATCATCGTCTATTTTTTTTTTATGATAACGGAGTGGCTGCCGAGGATTTTAACGCATCAGCCAGGGCGTACACTTGGAGAGATGGAGCGATGAAATCGGTCCGTGTGCGGGTGCTGGATACGTTTGCTGCATCGCAGGATCATGAGATGTGGAGGCGGCGGCTTGGGGAGTGATCACGGCTGATGATTTACGATGACGATGATGATGACGATGATGACGATGATGACGATGATGACGATGATGACGATGATGACGATGAAAAAGAAACCATGACGCAACCCACTCCTTCGTCGGCGCGGCCAGGAGCGGGAATCGAACTCGGGTCGCCGGTTTCGTAGCGCAGCGCACTTACCGCTGCGCCACCGCTCACACACACACACGCACACGCACGCACACACGCACACACGCAACAACAACCGCTGTTCGCCACTAAGTGGCAGTGACGCCAACACGGTGCTTATGCCAGGTCAGGTGTCGAAGGCCCGCTGGCAGGACGTCACGGAACAGACCCATATGCCATGGGTTTGGCTAACTTGAGACGACTGGCAGATGCACCACGCGCGCACCCACGCACGCACTCACCCGCACTGCGGACGGGTAGAAGACCTCGTTCTTGTGGAGACCCCCGTGGTCCGACATGTCCAGGTACTGGCTGAGGGCGGTGCGCGTGCAGAAGGTGAGCGGCAGGCAGCCCTTGAGGCTGCGGCGCGTCGTGTAGCCCATCACGGCCGTCTCCACGTCCAGGAGGTGCTCCGAGCGGTGGTGGTTCGAGATCTTCATGCTGCCCATCAGCCTGGACACGCGGTCGCACGTACATCGCCGGATGTCACCGTCCTGAGCGGGTCTCACTTCACCGTGGCGGTGGCGAGTCTATTGCGTTCAACGAGCACGGCCGACTTCCCCGCGTTGTTTGTCTCGCAGCGACGATGGGCCGAGTCAACCCCCAGCCAGAACTTGAACCCGTAACCTTCGCATTGCGAGCCGCCCACTCAATCGCCGAGCCGCCCACTCAAACGCTGAGCCACCTGGCCAGTCAAAGATGCAGCCCTGCAAGTGCTCGCTGACACCACTGCTGGCGGAAGGGCCTCCAGCGACAGGAAGGCTCGGTGTATTTTGGTCTACTCTTCCGCACTGGCAAGGCGACTAGTGCAGGGTGGGGTTAGGGGGGGGGGGGGGCTTGGTAATCATTCCTCGTCAGAACGGAAAAGGTTAAGGGATGGGCGTGTGCAACGAGGCAAGTTTAAGGCTGTTTATACGACCGCGTAAATATCTGCACGGTGCCGCACCTCGTTCGGATTAGCCAGCGGAGCTGGGAGTGAGAATTGCAAAATATAAATATATATATAAATGCAAGAGATTATCCCATTTCGTCGGCTGTAACGAGAGCCTAAAGAATACAGCCTGTGCCAAAATAAAATTGACTAGTGAAAGCCCGGTTAAAAATTTATGTATATGAAAGTGGCAAGGTGGCTTAGGGAACTAAATCCAGGGCAGTGTCACTAAGCCGGTGCCTCTCTCTGACATCGCCGGTTTAACCGCATGACGGGGGGAGAAGAGAAAAATATCCACGGCAGTAGCCGCCCCCCCTCCCGACCCTCCTTTCTCTCTTTGTTCGGGGGTTTTGTGTCAACACATGGGCATCGGTGGCCTTAGCCGGGGCCAGCGACGACAGCGACGCGACCACACGAGAGAGAGATGGAGAGAGAAATATGCCTCGGGGCGACGCGCGCGGCGCTTCAAGATTCCGCATCGCCGGTGGACGGGATCACGACGGCGTGCGATCGGCGTGGTGCTAAACCGTGACCCGCCCCGGGCGGCAGGCGAGTGCCGTCGGCGTGCTGGCGCTCGCAAGGAGAATCCGAGCATACTCGGCTTCAAGTCCCAACGTCGGGGTCGCCAGAGCAAGGCGTGAAATTTGGAAATTATTTTCACACGGAGGCTTTGGCGACCGGTATATTATCCGGGTGGTGGCGGGTTAACGACACATTTATATTCATGCCATCTAAACCCCAACATAACTTTATTTTGGAAACGGTTATTGTCGTCGCGATGCCCCTGGGTAGGTGTTGGAATAACGCCGCCACGAACGTCATCGGCAGGGGCCTCAGCCGCCAGAGTGAACAAGCACCGAGGAGAAAACTTTTAAAGACTGATTTTAATCTCCACGGTTTGGGCAGAGCATTGATCAGCTTAGCTGTTCTTTTACGGGCTAAGTCCATCGTAGAGAAACACGACGTAATACTGGGACGATCTTTGCAAGTTCAAATCCCGTTTCCGGGTGGGGACTCGCTCCATCTTTCCCCTGGGGTGACAAAACGATGACCGCTTTGTGGGGTAAGTCAACTGCGGCTGTGCTCCGGACAGGACTCGCCCCTGACATGGGAAAGCAGAATCTCCACTGCCGGCTCGGCGGGGCTGATCACAGGTAGACATCGGCACCGCCTCGCTGATCATTTAAGCAGGAAATCACTTTGAGTCCGAGACAGCTGGAAGGAAATAAAACCGCAGGTATTATTAACAGGTGAGGGAGACCGCTTTCTCATCCCTGTGCAGCGGTCCACGACCAATACCACGGGCAGCGGAGCATGTCAAAAACTATAAACACGCATCAAGCAGGCCGGGGCCGGTTGACCTACACGTGTTACCGCGCCGACGCGCGCACGTAAAGCGTCGGCGCCGCAAAGAGTGCGATTTTCCTCGCTGAACGATCGCCCACCCCCCCCCCAACCCCCCCCACCCCTCTCCTCACTTTGCCACCGACCGAGCCGGCCACTCGATCTGTGCCGCAGCCCGTTATATTTTGCGTGACGTTATTTCCGATAACGCGATTCGCCCGACACGAGCGCGCCCCTCGGCCGTGAAGTGCCGGCGGTTTGAAGATCGCCGCGCCGGCCTCTGAGAGCGGCAGCGGCCGACCGAGAGCTCGCGGCCCCGACTCCATACAGAACGCGTACTTGCTAGGTAGAGGCCTTCGTCTCTCCACTGCTGGATGAAGGCCTCGAGCCCCCCACCCACCAGCCACCCAAAGCCGTGTCGGTCGTGCGAGTCGTGTGACCATACTTTCACCGTGTGTATCGGTGTGGATTGGGGAAGGCAAAGGGGGGGAGAGGGGGTGCCAGGACTGGGTTTCAGATATTGCTTGCAACTTGACGATAGCCGTGGATGGCAATTAACAATTAAGGTCAGCGGGCTCACGGTGCAGTGCGCTCACCACTGCACTACCACTCCTCCTGAGGTAAGGTCAAACAATCACATGTCACCAAAATTATATCAATCAGCCATGAACGATCCACTGCTGCACGAAGGCCTACTTTGACCATCGCCATCTCTCATGGTGCTGTGATGCATCAAATCTCCTGCTGGGTCCCCGCCGCTTGCTTTTGCTCAACGGCTGACGCACCCACCCCCTCCCCCCCTAAATTCCGCGCGTCATCGTCGCTCTCTTGCGTACAAAACCTCGCCGCGCCACGACGACGACAACGGAACCGCGGCGTCGACGACGGAAACCGGTTGCCGATGATCCAAGAACGGGGCTAATCCAAAAGTTTTCCCCGTCACGGATTGTTTAAAGATCCGATTCGATGCCCTGCGATCACGGCGGCCCGCGGCTAGAGTGGTCCGGCCACGTAATTAAGTCCTAATCCCGGCCCCTGTCCCTTGGCCGGGTTCTCGCAGCCAGCTGCTCCATATTCGAAATGGCGTTGCGCGCCCGAGACTTCCCGCAACCCTCTCTCCTCTCGACTCCCCCAGGTCCCTCACCTCTCCTAGAACATAATAATCCAGTAAGCCGCCGCCACCGCCGCCACCGCAAGACTGCTCGCTACGTGGCTGTGAGCGAGACCACGTCACCTCGATCCTCAGACCCCGTCAGCGGCTCCCGATGCAGTCCCAGATTAACAACAAGATCGCACTCACCATCTTCAAAATCCTGTTTGGACTCACCCCTGCCTACCTCTCCCCCCTCTCATCTCACTCTACTCTCCTCCACGCACTCTACTGCCTCTCCCCTCTCATCAGTCACTCTCTCCCCTCCGTACTATCCTACTCTTTCCCTCTCATATCACTCTATCACCTCCAAACGCGCTCTCCTGCCTCTCCTATCATCTCACTCTACTCCCCTCCACGTACTATCCTACCTCTTCCCTTCTTCCTCTACTCCCCTAACATCTACTGCCCTCCCCTAATCTCACTTACTATCATCCACGCGCTTCCTGCCTCTCCCCTCTCATCTCACTCTACTCCCCTCCACGTTCTCTCCTACCTCTTCCCTATAATCTAACTTCTACTCCACTACACGCACTTACTGACTCTCCCCTTCATCTCACTCTCTCCCCTCACTACTCTACTACCTCTTCCTCTCATCCACTCTACTCCCCTCCACGACGCTTCCTGCCTCTCCCCTCATCACTCACTCTATCCCCTCCCTACTCTCCTACTTCCCTCTCATATCACTCTACTACACTCCACGCACTCTCCTACCTCTCCCCTCTCATCTCAATCTACTCCCCTCCACGCGCTCTCCTGCCTCTCCCCTCTCATCTCACTCCACTCCCCTCCACGCACTCTCCTACCTCTCCCCTCCAATCTCACTCTACTCCGCTCCACGCACTCTCCTACCTCTCCCCTCTACATGCACTCTCCCACCTACTGGTCATGGGCAAAAATCGAATTAGGGTGGTTGGGTCCATAGCGCAGTGCGCTCACCACTACGCCACTGCTCCCCAGGCGACAAACTGCTTACGTTAATTACAACCTTTGAAAACAGCCTTCATTGCAGATCAGCCTTTTTTTACCTGTCACCATTAGCATTTTGGCATGCACTTGGATTCCAAAGTTAACTGTTGAAGAGAAGACGTGAGTGTCATCCCGCTAGCGACGGTGCATAAATAAGGCATGAGCTCCGCGTATAAACGAGCTCGCTAATGGCACGATGTACAGAGGGGGGGCGGCGGGGGGGGGGGGATTTGCGATTATGAACGCGTGATTATTAATCAAGTGATGTCGGGAGCGACAGTGCAGTGGTTAGAGCACACTACATCATCATCAGACGTCGCAAGACACGCAAGGGTTGGGCCTGGACGGTGCCTTGGCTGGACGACAACCGTGCATAACAGATGCTACGGGCATCGTGGTCAACCGCTCGCTACCGGTTGCAGAGACGTCCAACGTGAAAGCGATTCACTCGAGTTGCGACACAGCCGAGTCGCGCAGCTGAGCTCGCGAAGATCTTCGCGGCCAAAGGTACGATGCGAAATAGATGCTTGTGTTAGGTCACCATGTGATGATCCGGCCTACTTCGCAAGACCCTCCACCGTCGCAAGACGGCCAAACAAATGAAAACTGTCACGCGGGCGGTGCCCAAATATTTATCGGGCCGATTTGTTATCGTTTCACAACATATTAAGAAGTTGCCCGACGTTAGTTGAGTGAAACGGAGCCTTCTCCGATTGCTGCTGAACGAGGTTGTAATAAAAAATAATCGGCCCGTCACGATGGCTCTGTCAGGTGCTACAATAGGGTCCTGCCCGACAGAAATCTGGCTGGATCTCTAAGTTGCCGAGCTCCAAAAAAGATTTATTTTGACGAATCCGCAACACAATACTATTTGGCGCGACGGTAAAGGTCGCCGACCAATGCGACACCATCTTTAAAAACCACTGGAATTAAACCGCAACGTTCGCCTTCCTGCCAAACGCCGTTGTGCCGTCTGAAAGCACCGCCGCTTGCCCGCAAAAGTCCCACGTTTCGCGTGCCATCCCGTCGGTCTAATTATTCTGCTTCACGCCAATTCAA